TTATCCCCTGCATGGAAAGCTTCTCACTGAAATTCAAAAAGTCCTTGAATGCTTATGTCACAACCCCAGGTTTCCTAACCCTGGGCTCAGGTAACTGATGCCACAGCCAAGCCTCAGAATTGGAAAGTTTACCTTGTCACCCTTCACTCTACTCCCTTATTCCAAGTAGCCTGATGATGATAATGATGATAATACCTAGCTCTTATGTAGCACTTTTAATCAGTAGATCTCAAAGCACTTTACCAAGGAGGTCAGTATGATTATGATGCAGATAGTAGATTGGAATCTCTAAGTTATACATTATTGTATTACAACTAGGGCTGTCGATTAATTACAGTTAGATCATGTGATTAACTCAACAAAATTAATCACGATTAAAAAAAATAATTGCGATTAATCACAGTTTTAATCACACTGTTAAACAATAGAATCCCAATTGAAATTTATTAAATATTTTTGGATATTTTTCTACATTTTCAAATATCACCTTTGTCCGGCTTGTCCTCCGTCTGTCCCTACAAGCACATAAGTCAACGCCACACCATTCTGTTTTGTTTCGATCATGTTCTTTCCATTTCTGGCCAAAGATTTTTGTCATGGGGTCAGCCCAGCGTATTTTTGGTCTGCCCAGCAGTCGCTTGTGGTCTCTGGGGATCCAGTCACTGATGCGGGTTGTACACCTATTGTGTCTTGCCTGTGGACTACATGACCAGCCCATCTAAGATTTGCGTCATATATCGCCTGCACTACATCGGTCACCTCTGTACGCCTTCTGATCTCCTCATTCGGTATATGATCACGGAACATATCTTGCACATTTTCATTTCCATTGCTCTCTGAGTGACAGCAATTTTTTCTTCCTCCACTTTTGTCATTGAGGGGGTACCGCAGCTACAGGGCACAAGGGCCAGCACCCCGAAGGCACTACTGCAAAAAAAATATTATTCTGCCAAACAAGCCACAAAAAGCAGAATAAACTGGGAAACTGAGCATAGACTCATGCGTTGGCCTGACCAATGCTCACAACCTGAGTTAGCTCAGGATGAAAAATGGAAAACGGCTAAAAACTTGTTGCAAGTCATAACACAAACTATAACTTTCAAATATATTGACTTCAATTACAACACAGAATACAAAGTGTACAGTGCTCACTTTATATTACTATTTTTGATTACAAATATTTGCACTGTAAAATTTTTAAAAAATAGTATTTTTAAATTCACCTCACACAAGTACTGTAGTGCAATCTCTTTATCGTGAAAGTGCAATTTACAAATATAGATTTTTTGTTACATAACTGCACTCAAAAAAACCAACCAGTGTAAAACTTTAGAGCCTACAAGTCCACTCAGTCCTACTTCTTGTTCAGCCAACCGCTAAGACAAACAAGTTTGTTGACACTTGCAGAAGACAATGCTGTCCGCTTCTTATTTACAATGTCATCTGAAAGTGAGAACAGGTGTTCGCATGGTACTTTTGTAGCCAACATTGCAAAGTATTTATGTGCCAGATATGCTAAACATTCATATGCCCCTTCATGCTTCGGCCACCATTCCAGAGGATATACTTCCATGCTGATGATGCTCATTAAAAAAATGTGTTAATTATATTTGTGACTGAACTCCTTGGGGGAGAATTGTATGTCCCCTGCTCTGTTTTACCTGCATTCTGCCATATATTTCATGTTATAGCAGTCTCGGATTATGACCCAGCACATGTTGTTCATTTTAAGAACACTTTCACTGCAAATTTGACAAAACTCAAAGAAGGTACCACTGTGAATTCTAAAGATAGATACAGCACTCGACCCAAGGATTAAGAGCTGAAGTGCCTTCCAAAATCAGAGAGGGATGAGGTGTGGAGCATGCTTTCAGATGTCTTAAAAAAGCAAAACTCCAACGTGGAAACTACAGAACCTGAACCATCAAAAAAGAAGATCAACCTTCTGCTGGTGACATCTGACTCAGATAATGAAAATGAACATGCATTAATTTGCACTGTTTTGAATGGTTATCGAGCAGAACCCATCATCAGCATGGATGCATGTCCTCTGGAATGGTGGTTGAAGCACAAAGGGACATATGAATCTTTCACACATCTGGCATGTAAATATCTTTCGAAGCTGGTTACGACAGTGCCATGCGAACACCTGTTCTCACTTTCAGGTGACGCTTTAAACAAGAAGCAGGCAGCATTATCTCCTGCCAATATAAACAAACTTGTTTGTCTGAGCATTTGGCTGAACAAGAAGTAGGACTGAGTGGACTTGTAGGCTCTAAAGTTTTACATTGTTTTATTTTTGAATGAAGGTTTTTTGTACATAATTCTACATTTGTAAGTTCAACTTTCATGATAAAGAGATGGCACTACAGTACTTGTAATGGGGGAATTGATAAATACTATTCCATTTTTTTTTACAGTGCAAATATTTGTAATGAAAAATACATACAAAGTGAGCACTGTATATTTTGTATTCTGTGTTGCATTTGAAATCAAAATATTTGAAAATGTAGAAAACATCCAAAAATACGTATTTAAATAAATGATATTCTATTATTGTTTAACAGTGTGATTAATCACATGATTAATCACAGTTAATTTTTTAATTGCACGATTAATTGCAATTATTTTTTTTAATCGTTTGACAGCCCGAATTATAACCCAAGCAGACTTTATTATATATACTTAGAACACCACCAAAATGCAGATGACTCTAGGGTGGATATTAGCAGCCAACTGGCACATAACACAAAAACGGAGGGAGGGGAGACTGGCCAGGAATTTCAGGGCAAACTTCTACTCTTAGGGTAAGTGTCATGGTATCTTTAAGGAGCCACGACACTGGTAATGGAAGGGGAAGTAATGAAGGGAGCAGTAAGACAGGAAGTTTGGAGCATGTGTGTATGACAGGGAGAGCGGGGAAGAAGAATGAAAGGACCAGCACTGGGCAATATCCTCCTGTATGCATCACGTTGACTGTACTAGTTAATACATTCACTTGGCTCATTGCCCACCAATACAAGAAATCTATTTCCCAAAGGAAAGAACAGCTCCCTCATTGTACATTTGGCAAACAACTGTTAGCATGTAATCACAGTACAGAGAATATAATTGTGGAGCAATTCAATTTAGTTTCGATCACACATCCTTCCCATTAGTGGGAGGGTCAACTGTAGATTAACACACAGACACTGTTCTCCCTTTCCTACCACTCACAAAGTATTCAAACCCTTCTCAACAGAATGGACCCCCTCACACAGCTCTAATCTTCTTTGTTCCTCTCTTATAATTAAACTCATACTGTGCCCCCTTCTCTGGGTCTGCATTCACCTTCTTCCCCACTCAGACCTGCTTAAGCTCCAGCCATTTTCTTACTAGGACTCTACTGTGCAGGAAACTTTCACTTACCTCCTGTGCTAGTGCCATCTGTCTCAACCACTCATAAAACCCACAGAAAAGAGCCAGTTCCCATGCTTTATCCATGGGGGAACTAGGCAATTTTCTGAGGATTCAAGGCACAAATGAGAGTAGAGGTAGAGATACATCTCAGCTCCAAAGTTCAGATTTGGATCTGAACTTTCTTCAAAGTTCAGCAGTGTTTGGATCCAGAGATTTGGTTCAGCCCATTATGGAGATGAAGGCCAGCTGCAAGGTTTGGAACTGGATCCAGACTTCACCAAAACTGAAACAGTTTGGTATGAGATTTTGGTTTGAGCCCATGTCAGCATACAGTTGCTAATTTTGAAACCATAAGAAATAAGTGTCATATACCCATTTGATATTAGTAAAGAAGTACCATATGACATTATCTAGCATTTTTCATTTTTTAAAATAGTCTATTATGATATTCAATGGAATAGAATGGCTAACACCTTGAAATGCCCTAAAACATGCATTGGCTTTGTCAGTGTAATATCAGAATGAAGTGTATTGTTTTTTTCTTTATGTCAATATCATTGTCAATATGTTAAGCTGAGTACTAGAGAGAAGGTAAAACTAACTTTTCAAATGTAATCAGAGTTTGGGCTGGATTGTTGGAAGACCAAAGATTACACTTGTGCATCTGTACTAGCAAATCATCAAATAAACAGGTGACAAATATAAATCTGAGAATGAGAATACAAATGTTCTGATATGTAGAATGAGAAATTTAACCTTAATTGTCCAGGAGTAACCCAGTAATAAGACATGGCACTGTGGAAAAGGTTGGCAACAGACTGTTGCCAGACCAAAAAAAAAATAAAAAAATGTATTACTTTATATTTACCTTCAAGAAATGAAGTAAAGATAGTGATATCCTATTATGATGTCAGGTACCAAGATGTGAGCATGTATGAAATGTCAAAATGCAGTGTACTATTAAACATGAGAAAATCTTTATGAAAATTTATTACAGTAATCTATCTCATGTGCTCCCTTCAGCACACTTAAAAAAAAATCAGAGAAAATAACTGTGAGAAGCAGATTGATCCAAAAAGTCTTTAATGTGTACTACAGGCGAGTCATTTCAATTTTGAATATATGGATTTGAAAAATAGGTGCATGTAACCGCAAAATGAAAGTAAAGGGAATAAGTAAAAGAACAAAAAGAAATAAAACCAACTATGACAACATTCATCTAAAACAAAGTTCTTTATTTTTTTTTCTTTTCAAAACATCTGTATAAACAAAACCCAAAAAGTATGTGAGCTGATTTCTTTCTGAATTGAAAAAATGTCACCTTAGATACAGAAAAACAATCACACAAATCACACCAGTACAAAGTTCTGTTCAAAACTCTCTCTATAAATGAAGCTCTATGTTAAGTTATTATGTGGACCTATGTCATGTTCATAGTCTTGCATCAGCCCTCTCCATGGAGCGAACATCATCTGATATAAAGGCAAATTTTCAAAATTAATATCATAGGTAAATAAAACTGATTAGGTAGCATACATTTTAAATGCATGTCCAGGCATTGTATTTTCACCTAAATTTATTTTTTCTACCCTTTTTTAAAGCACAGAACTGTTACACTTCGTAGACAACCAGTTGGTGGCTTGGGCTTAAGTATAAAGGTATGGATAATGTTTTGTTTTCATTTCTCTTTTTAAACTTCAGTATGTTTAGTGCATGATGGTCTCAGTTGAGATTTCATTATTTATACACATCTTTTACAGGGTGGTGCTGAGCACAAAGTCCCTGTCGTCATATCAAAAATATTTAAACACCAAGCAGGTAAATATATATCTATATCTATATCTATACTTAAATAGGTTTCTGGTGTTATGCATACGATAGTCTTTTTTTGAAAATGAAGTTCACTGTAACTCAGAATTAAGTATATTTATGGATCATTACATCAGCATTATGGTATCTTTAAGTCTTTCTGCAAATGTTGAATGGCTGTATATGGACAATTGTCTCTGATTCTGATTTCAAATAATCTGTAGTCTCACAAAGTTGGGGAATGGTAGTTAAAATTTGATCTGATAAATACTCACCTTAGAAATTTTTATGACAGTAGCACATCCTGATTATAAACACTGCCTTTAACATTCCTTTGTGGGGGAAAAAATTTTGACATGAGAAAATGACTGCATCACTTAATTTTAATAACATGGGATAAACAAATATAAGCCAACTAGAATCTTTTTCCAGAACTGTAATTCATCACCATATGGTATGACTAAACCTGCCTAGATGCAAATAGGCAGCCATCAACAATGCTGAATAAATATATGAATCAGTGTAATAAAACACACAATTAAAGCATTACACTGACAATCGCCCAGTCCAAATAACCTAAACAAGACCCTATGTACCAATTAAGCCCTGCACTAAGGATGGAATTTATCCCAGCATAGAGGGAACTACGGTGAACTTCACTCTTAAAAATGCACAGTACAAGCATGGCAAGAAAATAAATAATAATAAAATAAAAAGTAGGCAACGAGGAATAAGGAGAATGCTCTAATAATTAAATAATGGTAATCATCCTAAATTGAAGTTTTCAATAAAAGAAAGTCATTTAGGGCCATCATGGACACAACAGATTCACTCAAAAATTACATTTGTATGTTTAAGTTAAATAATCAGACACACAAATTTGTAACAATGTAGGTAATTTTGATAACTTTCATGCACAAACGCCGGGCTTTGTGGGAGCACTGGATGCATGCATGTTTTTTGGGGGTACCTATTGCACTCAAGATTGAAAATCTGTCCCTAAAAGTCACATATTGAAAGAAATCCTGCAACTGTATGTCTGAGGAAGGCAGTGAATAGCATTGAACAGGGGTTAGTGCTACACCATGGGAATCCATGCCTCTGTCTACTGTGGAGCAGAGCTGCTGTAGATCCCTGTTTGGGACTGACGAGGGGGTGCACTGTGGGTGGGCCAAGGAAATGGTAGGATAATGGCCAATGGGCCAGCAAACAGTGTAGAACCACTTACCTAGTAAACAGAGTGTGGGAGAAGCTGTACATATCTACTGCCTACTGTAGCTTGGGGCTGAAGATTAGACTCTTCAGTCAGTCATAGAGTCATAGACTTTGGTCAGAAGGGACCATTATGATCATCTGGTCTGACCTCCTGCACAACGCAGGCCACAGAATCTCACCCACCCACTCCCACAACAAACCCCTAACCTATGTCTGAGCTATTGAAGTCCTCAAATCATGGTTTAAAGACTTCAAGGTGCAGAGAATCCTCCAGCAAGTGACCTGTGCCCCACGCTGAAGAGGAAGGCAAAAACCCTCCAGGGCCTCTGCCAATCTGCCCTGGAGGAAAATTCCTTCCCAACCCCAAATATGATGATCAGCTAAACCCTGAGCATGTGGGCAAGACTCACGTGCCAGACACACAGGAAAGAATTCTCTGTAGTAACTCAGATCCCACCACATCTAACATCTCATCACAGGCCATTGGGCATATTTACTGCTAATAGTCAAAGATAGCCTAATTTTGGCAATTAATTTATCCCATCATACCATACCATCCATAACTTTATCAAGCTTAGTCTTGAAGCCAGATATGTTTTTTGCCCCTATTGCTCCTCTTGGAAGGCTGTTCCAGAACTTCACTCCTCTGATGGTTAGAAACCTTCAACTATGTCAAGTCTAAACTTCCTGCATATGGATAAGTGTACAAACTAGTTATTTTGGCTGTGCACTCCATACTAATATCCCATCCATTTTGAATTATTATATGTCAACAGCACAGAAAATGACATTGATGATTATTACAAGATATCAGTTGCTGATCCAATTAGGGTTCTTTCTTACAGAATATCGATGGATATAAACATTCAGGGGTACCTCTAATAGCTACATTTTCCTTCCTAAAAATCATGTCCGGCTTCAGTAGAAAAGTAAAAATTGCATACAAAGAGCATGAGAAACTGGAAATCCAGATGTCCTACACACCACATTATCTTTGGGAGATATAAAATCTCTACAAGATAGAAATATCCTGCACACAAGATTAAAAAAAAAAATCACCTCTCCCAAAGTGTGAATACTTTCAGTTACCAGGATTATATTTAATCAAGGATTTAATACTAATGAGGCTGAGAGAACCTATCCAGGCACAACTGTCATTGGTGACCTTGGGGAAGGGCAAGTTCCTTTCTCTGAGATATCTTCTCTGTTTATAGGAGATACAAAAAGAGGACCGTCCCGAGTAGTATTCTTTAGGGTACAAACTTGAAAAAAATATAAATATTTTAATCAGAAATCTGACCTGCCAGTTCTACCAGTTATCATACAGAGAGCTGCAAGGCGAAAGAACAATAGAGAAAGGCAGACTGATCTCAAGTAAGTCTTCTGAATGAACATTCAGACATGCTCAATGTGAATAAGAATTTGTGTATCCCAGGTGTTAATAATAATGAAATTGACAGCCTAGCTGGAAATATAGCTCAGAGAAGAGTATTAAGATGAGCTACTACTTGAAGCAAGTAAATTAATTTGAGAAAGAGTGATATCATACAGTGATTTCTGCACTGCTGAAAAGCCCTTGCGCTATGGCAGCTAGTCAGCCCAGCAGCGTGAGTCACAGAGTAACCAAAAATCTCCACAAGCTATAAAATACATTTTGCATATTTTTTTTTTATTTTGTTGATAAATATATACAGATTTAAGGACAACTTGTGATTTGATTTAATCTCACAACTCACTCTCTGCAGTAGTGAAACGCAATGCCAGAATGTTCAAAGAATGTAGTGTTGTGTGAGACTCAAATCTTGGCATGGCTAACAGTGCCTGAATAAGCTGCCTTGTTACCAGGGCAATTTACCACTCCCAGTAGTCACTTTATAAGTGCATTGCTGTGGTAATCACTGCTTGGTGAGGCCGTGGCAGAATTATAGCAGTTAAGCTTGAGCTGCAGGAGCCTAGTGGGGGTCAAATGGGGCCTGTGAACCTGCATCTCCCTGTCCACCTCCCTCTCGGGAGAGGCCCCGTGGGTATACACAAGAAGCCGCTGGAGGTGGCTCCACCTCCCAGTTCTGTCTGCTGCTTCTAAATAAGGTAATCTTTTAATAGCTATTAAAATATACATTGGGCAAGGATGGAAATAATTATTTTGTGACTTGTGCCTCATCTGTTTAAAAAAAAAAAAAGTCCCCTGCCTTGCATAGCTGATTAAGAACTAAGGGATGATGTTTCAGAGGAATTTTTATTTATTTTGTTTCCTTTAGACGAATATCCTAAGTTTCCCGTTTTACACCTCAGTGACTACAATATTAACTTCCTTCAATGTCTGATAGTTTATTCAATTCCATTCCCTTCCTAGAATTTGGAGGATTTGTCACTGTTCCTTTCTGGAGCCATATACCAGGTTTCAGTTTGGTTGCTGATCTCAACTCAAGATGTCCTTTTTTCCACTGATACAGCATAGCCCCATTTATACTATTCCCCACCCCACCCCCCCACTCACTCACTCACACTCTCTCTCTCACACACACACACACACACACACACATACATACACATCCTATAGAGTGTTTACTGCTTTCTCTTATATCCCATGCAACCCATTCCCTACCTTAGTGCAATCACTCAGGATATGTCTAAACTGTAACTGGACATCTTTGGCTAGTCCGTGCCAGCTGACTTGGGCTCACTGGGCTGTTTAATTGCGGTGTAGCTGTTCTGGCTTAGGCTGCAGCCCACGCTCTGGGATCCTGCTTGGCAGTAGGGTCCCAGACCTCAGGCTCCAGCCTGAGTCTGAACATTTACCACAGCCTCTCAGCCTGAACCCCATGAGCCTGAGTCAGCTGGCACAGGCCAGATATGGGTTTTAATTGCAGTGTAGATATAGCCCCAGATGTCTCAAGAGAGCATCTGGATTGAAAAGAGCTGCCTCTAGTTGCACTCCATTCATCAAGATTGCAAGTAGGAAGGGTGGAAAAATCCAATGTCATTAATTTCACCAACATCTGATTAGCAAGATAGTGAGAAATGTCTAGGTCTTATTGGACTTATTACTGCTCTTAAACACTCAAATATCAACAGCAACAAGAAATACATGTCTCCCTCCTTCAACTGACTAAGAGACTCCTCTCAGATGACAGCCTACCAACTGCGATTGTTCTGTTTGTAACTTCCAAATTAGATTACTGTAACTCACTCAACTGAGAGTTCAGTGGGGGTGTCAAAAAGAAGTTCCTCGGTACCACATGCAGCAGCCCATTTCCTAAGCAGAATAACAAGCCTACTGTTATGACTTCAAATGTTTAAAATATAATTATAGGTGCTCATCCAGTACTCTAATAAATTAAGACTCATGGTATAAACAAAAGGACTGCCTTTTACATATATCTATTTGCACCATCCTCAATAGCCTTCACAAAGAGGGGAAAAACATATCACCAGTGTTTCATGTTCTCCATGGCCTCTCTCTTACGTACTAATTTTCCATTCATGATCTACCAAATGTATTGTACTTATTATTCAGGTTGCTGGAGCTCTTGATAGCCAGAGTGAAATGGGAGCTCAAGGCCAAATCAGCAAATTAATTCAAACACACACACATTCCAAATAAAAATGATTACATATGAGAGACACGAATATCAGAGTCCACACTGGTCCAACACAAATTTGCGTTTTAATACCAGCATATAAATATCAGAGTGAAGATGTGTTAAACATGCAGTTTATATATGAGATTGCATAAAGAATTTCCTGAGGAGGAGAATTTTCATAAATTGACAGTGAAATATAATATTGCGAAA